GCATGAGCTTGGCTCTTTTTAACTCCTGGGACTGTGAAGAAGACTCTCCTTGGCCATTTGCAGCTGGTGAATGCTGGCCTTCATAAGCCGTGCCAGTGGAGGAGGGCAGGGGAGCAGTAAGTAATAATGTCACCGTTAATCACCGATTGCCACAGGAAAGCTTCAGCACATGATTTGTCTAAAACGCTGCTGCCCCAGTGGTGTAAATATTTATTAACAGCTGCCTCCATTTGCGGCGTTTTCATTATTGCTCACAGCCCTAGTGCTCACACCTTGTATTATCAGCAAGGGGAGCCATGGGGCATCTTGTTCCCGACCCCGCAGCCCTGCGCTAACGGGGACTGTGGGCAGCCCCAGCAGCCCCTCCGCACAGGCAGGAGCCCTTGGCGAAGGGAAGCGATGCACATCCCAGCAGCCGGTTCCTGCCCTGGCAGCTGGCTCAGGCAATCCCATCACGTCAGAGCAGGGCAGGGCACTGGCAATGCCAAGATGAACCGTGTAACCTGCTGTTAAGAGGCTTTTCCATTTCCTTTTGCTCTGCTTTTAACATTCAGAGTCTACAGGACAAAAGCCTCTTCAGCACTAATCCTGCCCAGCCTTTCCTGGTGACGAGTGGTTCAGGCATAATGCCAACGCGTTTATCACCTTTCTGTACTTCACCTTGCTGTGGATTATTTTCCATGATGGAGCAACCCACAACCCATCAAATGACTTGTCAGCCACCCTCCCAAGTAACATTCTCAATCAAAAGGATTTTACCCTTTTTTGCCCCTGAAAGGGCACCTGTCCAAGTGAGAAAGGGACCTGAACACCAGAGACCCCTGACTTTGCTGGGCACTCATCCAGTGGTCAGTGGGATCTCCGTAATGCCCCTGCCACTGCTGGCATTTTAAAAAAGCAAAAGAGACAAAAGGAAAAAGCCTTCCCTTCCCCCGTCCCTCCCGTAAGTCATTTTCTCTGGCCTATTTTACAGGAACTGAAAATCTATTAGAGGAATAGCTTAATCTGGTTTGACTGTAATAATTAGGGTGCTTTAAAAAAACCCTGACTAATCGTATAAAATGTGATTGTAGACAGTTCAGTGCATGACCCTTACACTTCTCACTTGAGGTATTATTACAAACCAGAAACAGCTGGCAAGCACGGAGGAGGATAAAGGAGAAAAAAAAAATTGTGTGCAAAGGGACAGGGACTGTTCCTTTCCTTGATCTCATAACAGAGGCACTGGCAGCACCTTGATCTGTCTTTCTAATGCAGATCCAAACCACAAAGTCACCTCCAAGACCTTGGACCAACACTTCTGTTTTCACTAACAGTGTGCCCTGCCAGCCACGGGGTCCTGCCATCGGCACCCCCCTTTCTCACACTGTTTTTGCAGGCAGTCCAAGAGGGTTTGAATTAGTGGTGGAGCAATTCCCCTTGGGGCACGCTACAGTCAGCAGATGTTTGTAGCAACAACGGGCAGCTTTTCCAAAACAAGACAGTCTGCATTATTCAAGCAGGATATAGTGCTTTAGGGTCATTGGGTTATGACAGAAAAGCAATGCTTGCTTCCATGTCTTGGCTGGTAGCAATCTCTTTTTCTTTCTCTCTGTCTTTCTCAGGCTTCAACAGCCACAATTTCTTCCTTCCCTTCCTGAGCCTAGTCTGGGAGCAGCTGAGTTCCCATTGCTGCATCAGCACACCTTTAGTAAAGCTATGTTTTTTCCACGTGTTCTGACAGTCATTCCACAGGATTGCTACCTGCTCAAGATGCCCTTGTCCCTACAAGATAAGCTCATCCATGTGCCAGCACTTTTTGTTCATCTCTTCTTACCTCTCCAGATAGGACAAACAAACAGTCCAGATACCCATCTCCTGAATGACTGTTTCAGAAGAGAAATCAACTCTTCCAGTCCTAGTGGACCACAAGCATATTTTGGTGGAGAATTCAAAATCGGAGCCCACTGCAGCAATCTAGTATAACAGATAAAATTGCCTAAGGGACTCATGCCTTAGCAGGATTGGCACTGACTTGGCTTGGCCATCACATAAATGTTGGGAGAAGCACCGGGAAGGCTCTTGTTCATGGGTACCGTTCAAAGCTGAGACTGAGCCCTTGCCCTAGACACTAGCTTACAAAAACACTACTCTATAGAGCCAGTCAGGAGACTGGCCTTTTAGACTTCACAGAGAGGTGACAGCCAGGATGATACTGTCCGTCAGTATCTATCATACTGTCACCAATACTAATATACTATCACCAATACACTAATCATCATTGAAAACATGTGATCAACCTTGAAGGAGGCTTTTAAAGACTGAAATAATAGAAGATGTAATAGAATTTCAATTTTTTTTTCTCTCTCTCTGTTACTGTGATGAAAACATGTGGTTGATCTTGGAAGCTCTACTGCAGCTTGTACAAAAACTGTAATAAGAACATTCACAGTAATGGAACTTGTAGCTGGAGTTGGGTTGTTTGGTTTCTTTTGCTCTCCCATGAGTTTTCCTTGGGTCTTTTTTTTCCATGCTGCTACATACAGATTTTGATCTTTCCTTTATTAAATAGGAATTGTTATCCCCACTGACTGACTTATCTAGTAAAAGCTAGAACCTTTTAATTCAAATGATTTGATTCCTGGGTTTTTTAGATTAAAGTAAACATATGGTATTACTGGGAGAGTGGCAATAGAAATACCATGGTCAAATTATCTTATGACTCAGTTCTGCAAAGCATGCTGAATACTTTTTAATATATTTCACAAGTATTCGGTGGTGACCTCTAACACCAGAGTGGTTTCTCTCCTACAGTAGCTCAATTTCACAACTCTGAATACACTTTTTATTTTTTTTTTGCAAGAAAGCCATCCAAAAGTTTTTATAAAATATTCTTTAGCCTTTGGGAATGAGCCAATTTAATGCCAGAGTATCATTCCATTTCAAAGAGTTGAAGAAATACAATCTGCTTTCTGAACTATATGAAATTAATATAGTTGTGGTTTTGTTAGAAACCAAGCTGCAGAGTTTGGATACGGAGCTCAACTTTCTCAAAGTTCAGCCACGGCTCTGGGTTTTGTCAGCTGTATTTCCCTGCAGTACTCTTTTTGTAACAGTCTTTCTTAGGGAGCCTGCCCCTGCGTACATGAACACTTGCACCGGGAGCAGATGGCAAAGGAGACATTGCTGTCATTTGTTGGCCTTAAAATGGGAAGGCGAGGTCCCTTTGGTAAAGTCAAGAATCACCAACAGAATGCACCTTCACTTGCTTTGAAGATCACCTTGGGTTTAATTACTATTTTTCTATTTGCAACTGAAAAATGGGCAGGAACATAGGAAATAAACCCCCAGTGATTAAAGGAGAAAATAGCAAGCTCTGAAAATGCCTCCTGGAAGCCTGAGTCACCTCAGGTCCTGTGCAAAGATGCAGTCTCCACTGTTGCCACACTCAGCAGCACCAGGCACACACACATCGCCACCGCCACCTCCCAGCCCACAGCATGAGTTGCCAAAAAAAACCAAACCTGCTGGAGCCACAGAGACGCTCAGTCACATCTAGCTTTATTTTATTCCTGTCAGAAAAGTTCAAGAATTACACCAAAAAATACTTCAGTCTCTGCTACCTACTGACAAAAAATACACCACAAAATTATAAACTGTTCAGTGGTTTGCTGGAGTTTTGATTGTTGGTGGAAAGGGTGGTTTGTACATTTTGAGTGAGAAATGAATTTACAGATGGAGGGGGAAGGAAGGACAGGAAATCAGACAATGGCATTTGGCACTACATTTTTAGCTACACTATACAGTTATTTATCATGATGCCTGTTAGGACTGAAGAGTTCTGCCCTCATTTACACCCTCTAGTGTCTATGTATGCGAAATGGAGGACAAAATTGCCCAATGCAGGGGAAAAAGGGACCAGCTCCTAATTTCCATCCCAGTCTAGCCACAAATCTGAAAAAGCAGCTTTAATCAAATGTGAACCTTGCCCTCCCTGTGCACTCTGCTCCTGCTGCTCAGTCTCACACTGCCTACACTACCGAGGAGCAGAGCTCTGAAAAAAGAGAATCCTTTTGTTTTTTTAAATCCCACCAGTCTGCCCTAATTGCACGTGCCATCTGTGAGGAGAGGATGTTCTACATTGGCCAGGACCGGATTAAGCTTGGGGTCTGGTCTGTGTTTGCAAGCAGAGATTTGATGGGACCCTTGAAATCTGAAAGCATGCCATGGCCATCCCTCTCTAGTTACCTAGAATGACATTAAATACTGAAGTATCTGAAGTTGAAGGAGGGAAGCAGGAGCATCCCATTTCATGGGAAAATTAGGGGCTGAAAAGTTAGAGGCTTAATACTGTTCTATACTATCACCACTCTTGAGAGGCTCCTCAATTTATAGTGGCATTTCTTTCTCTCCTGGTGATCCTCCTGAGGGAGGTCCCAACGGATGAAGCCTCATGCAATTTGCCAAAGGTCATGCAGGAAATCTAAGCCAGCAGCAGAAATAAAGGCCTGATCTCCTGACTTCTAGACCTGTGCTCAGAAGTACATTAATGATTTCACTATAGCAGCCTCTGTCTGCTTCCATCTTGCTCCATACCCAAACAGCAACCAGGACTTCAGCCTCAGAGTCCAGCCAAGATCAACAGCACAGTGGTGGCTCACTACAAATGCCTAGATCTTTCTGGAATTACTTGGGCCACAGTGCAGGGGTGTGTGTGTGTTTGCACGTGTGTCTGTTTGAGGAAGGAGGGGATTCTGGTATTTCTCTATCAGCCAATGAACAGTGATGCTGGATTCAATTTGACAGCAAAATATCCCCCCCCCCCTTTGGCAAGCTAAACAACGTCACAATGTCTTTGTAACAGGTTATCTCTGCCCCTTCTCTTGAAAGGATTTCAACTTCACTGCATGTTAAGCTTCTGTCAGAGCTTTCCAGCAATGATAAAACTTTGTGAGATTCTCTTTGCTGCTTTTATCTTCTCTGGCTGTTTACCTAATTTGCTTTTTTTGTTTTTTAATTTCTTTTTCTAACAAATAGTTAAGCAATGATTTAAAAATATTTTTACATTGTAAGGTACAGTCAACATCAAACATGCCTTTGTACAAGAGCTCAACTCAGTTACAAATCAACAAGAACAATGCACGAAAAGAAATATCCATTAAGATTACTCCTGCACTTGGGTTGTATTTATTCCTGTCATGCTGTTAGCACAGCACCCTCAGCTAGAGCAATGCAGTATAGACCTGGTGTTGTCCTCACACCCTCCCACTTTGCCCGTCACCACTTGTTAACTTTAATGACCTTCTGTCTTGGCAGCCTTGGCTTCATGGTTTGCCGATCCTGAAGACAGCCAAGGCGATACGGCCCGGGAGCTGGTCTGCTTGGCCATGCTGTAGTGGCTGATGACAGTGTAGAACCTGCCCCGGGAGTTGGAATCCTGTGCGGAGTAGTACGCGTCCAGCGAGGCCGGGATGCACCGCTTGTGCTGGAACGGGGAGAAAGCAAGAGAGGTAAAAAGTGGTCTCATCAGCCTCAGGTTCTCGCTTTAAAAAATCTCAGGGTTAGCTGTTTGCATGGATGATGTTTGAGTCAGACATGCTGCAGCCGAGAGCGTTGGCTGTGCACCCCGACTGGCTTTCAGCACCATGGGAATGCGCAAAGTTTAGAGTTGGGCAGCAGCCTTCAAAACCTGTTGCTATTGGCAACCGTGATTGCAGGCTGATTTCATCTGTGGATGGGAAATGGGGACAGTAAAATGAAGGTCTGACTGGTTCGGTACATTACTGGCATGCACTGAGACCGCGGGCCCTTGCTGGAGTCCTAGCAGGGATGGCTGAGCAGCTCTTATCACGTGCTGGACGTGAAAGCTCTGTAGAGCAAAGTCCAGAATTAATCCTCAGACAAGTAGAGGACAGGCAGAGGCAGAGTAAGCTGCTTATGTGCTGCTCTGTTACAGTGTGTTATCTCTGACCTGTAGGACAACCACCCCGGCTGGGGATGGTAGGAAGCGCAGCCCAACTGGTCAGCCCTTGTCAGAGCTTCTTGTCTGTGCAGACAGTGCCTGTGCATCTCTGCTGCGCTAGTGCGGACACTTGTGTGCTAAGAACTGCACAGGTAAAACAATTTGCTTTGCAACAGCTGTAAAAGAGCAATCAGATGGTAACAACCGTTGGACTGGTTGGTATTCACCAGAGTCAAAGTAGCACCAAGGACAGAAGGAGCCCCAGGTGCAATTATTAGTAAGTCATGAGATACCTCAACTCCCAGTTCAATGTGACTAGTCGAAATTTGAGAACAAAACCTTTAACCTTTTCAGAAGTTTGGGTTTGGATCCAATTCTGAAATTCATGACTCTGTCCTAACTTTATTTTTATATAACCTAAGGGAATAATTCACAATGATCAATAAACCAACGTGCTTACTCTGTTTTCCAGCTCACAGACTATGCTCAGTGTGGTCAAGCCTCCCGTCAGTTTATGAGTTTATTCACAGTATGGAGTAAGTGAATTATTTTGCAAACAACTTTTTTTTTTTTTTATCTCAACAGACCAGGCAATTAGTTCTCTGTGAATATTCAATATGAAACCACTGAGCAGCACAGTTTTCGCAATTAAGTTACATGGTTTTGTTCTTGATAGAGGCACAAAAGCACCTAAAAATGATCTACATGGACAAATTTGGATTTCTTTAACAAAGGGCACGTGACAGCACTCTGCGAGTTTGCTTTGCATTAAAATGTATGTCAGTAAACCTCAGTTGCTTGAACCTGTGGGAAGCAAACGCAGGATTCCAGCTGCAATAAATCCATTCACAAATATGAGAGATTGTTCCTGAACATCTGTCTGTAGTGCTCACCAAATGCTAATCCCAACAATTACAGTGTAACAGTAGCTGGTGGAGGCAGATGCACGTCCACATTTCCCATAACGCTTTTCCCATTTCAACACATTCTTGCCAAATGTTCTCTTTGGCCTGGTCGAAAAAGCAGACTAGACTGTAACCATGTAGTCAATTAGAGTCTATCATTATCTTAGGCAATTCATCCGTCTGGTTTCTTACCTTATACACAAATCCATCTGGGCAACTGTGGTCGTAAGTAAAGGCTTTGTATACCACAAGAAACACTATGCAGGCAAGGAATGCAAGAGCCAGACTTATGAGAATAGTGACCTACAAAAGAGGGATAATGTTACTCTACATATGTTAAAATGGCATATCAGCAACCTCATAATTAAATGACTTATAGTAACAGCCATCCTAACAGACTGCAGTCTTCACTCCACTGTGCAGTACTTAACTAAGCATGGTAATTGAATGAATTCTAGATCCAATAGCCCTGAATTCTCACATCATTTTCATCCCCTCACAGACCTTCAGGAGTGCACATTTCTGTGTTTAACCCCTTGTACGGATTTTGCTGAGGCATTTGGTGTTCCCGGTGGCTTTGTGTTTCCATGCTCTCAGCTGTTCAACTGCATCATCTGCTGGCCCAGCAGGACCCACCAGTAGCCAGAGTCCATGTTTAGGGTCTAATCCATGCAGATAAACTGCCCTACAGCCGTGGCGAGATCCCGCTGTTCTGATAGCACAGGCAGGTGAGCAGGTAAGAAGAATGAGGCCTTTGTAGTACACATCCTTTTGTGCCTTCTGGGCAATGCGACAAGAATAAGTTGTGCCCGAGTACCTCACAGAAGGGAGGGCAGGAGAAAGGGAATCCTTCTCTGTTAATCAAAGCTGAAAAAAGGAGAATAACCCAACCACCGACAAAGGGCAGCATGTAAATCCTACAGCATGTCCAAGAGTAGATGCCAGTGTTAGAGGTATGAGACACAACACCCCCTTTTGGGTCCAATTATTCCTCTCTTCTCATTCCCAAGAGGATTACTTTGCTGCACCGTTCTGTTTCTCTGCTATAGCTCCCTTCTCTCCAGCCCTTCCAGGTTCCTCTTAAATGATTCATTCAACAGCAAGTTTCCTGGCCCTGTTCAGATGCCTGGACTGAGGCCCTGATCCTTGATTTTAGCTGAGCTGTGTCCTCCCCTAAGGACTGAGCAAGGGTCCCAAATACACTTTTGTTCTTCCCTTCCCGAAAACTTTCTTAGTCCCAGCTGGTAATTCTGCAAATGCAGCATCAATGGCTCTGGACTTCTACTGCCTGAATTACAGCAACCCATTCTGTCGAGACTGCTGTCTCACACTGATCCGGACTGGCATGAAAAAAATATCATAATCCCTGTGGCTCCAGTGTTACCATGCACACTAGAGCTCCTAAACAAATGAACTCACTTACAGAGATGATGGGGGTGGGAACAGCAGTAGGGGAAACATTTAAAGCTGTTGCATGGATGGCAGCATGGGCAGCGAGCAGCAACAGCTCCCCACCTTGCTCTGGCTCGCTGGGACTGAGCACCAGCATCACATATTTTGCAGGATGGTTTCCTGCATGAGGAAGGGGCTGCAATGTTCCTGTGCTCAGTGAGTCTGTGTGAGAGCTCACACTGAGGAAGTTCCCATAGCAAAAGGTTGAGGTCTGGCATGGGTTTACAGGAGGGATAGTGATCAGTGAGGATTTTCCTACCCACAACCTCAATCTATTTGCTTCTGAATCCCATTTTCTCATTGTGGCACCAGAAGCTGAGCCCAGGGCTGCAGATTTTCCCTGGTCACATCAAAAGCCATCCACTGAGAACCTCAATGGTAGGACATGGCAGGGACTGCATGCCTGACCTTGGCTAATGCCCCAACCTTCACACGTGCTACCACCATGCCATGCATGTACTCATTCTCCAAAACATGCCCCCTCCCAATATCAGGGCTGCACCTACCTGTACGAAAGACAATCATTATCATTTGCTGCTCTAGCAAGGAAGAGCCACAAATTTTTCAGCTCCATCTAATCATTCAGGGTTCATCCACCCTTTTGTTATTACAGTTATGTGACAATCCTCTTTATTTTCTTGTATGGGTGTTCAAGGAAACTGAATAGTAGGTACAGGCAGAAGCTGTTCCTTAACTAATGTATAGGAGACTGGTGATGGTAGAAAGTGGGGGAATACAGAGATAGTTCCTCCAATATAGTAGATAGGCTGGTCAGGAACAGCAGCTAATAAAGAGCAAGCTGGCTACATCTCCAAATTCATCAATATAATATTAACATAACTATATTATTATGTAATATTATATCAATAAAGATATACTAATTGGTTCATATTGGTTCACACTGAATTTTGCTCTAAATCTCTCTTTGAGTCATGGTAGCAGTTGCAATTCTGAGAACTGGTACAATATGCAATCCCTGCACAGACTCAAAGGGGCCACTGTAATTGTTTGCAGTGCAGGAAAAGACTTATCACTCTCATTAATCCTGAGGACAGATGCACTCCTGGTGAGATGTGTTCTTCCACTGCACACAGCACATTGGGACTATTACTCAGAGAAGCTAAAGCAGCACTGGTAATGCCACCTGCAATACTGGAAGATCTAGAGCTACGATTTTGGACAAAAAGAAAGAGTGAAAGTAAATCCGCATGTATGGTGTTAAATCTGACCCAACACATCCAGTTCAAAACTCAGGAAAGAGAGAGGTGTGTAGGCTGTATCTAGCAGGATAGATTCATAAGTTCATTGTTAAGTCAGAATATTTTAGAATAAAGTGTAAAAAGGTAAGAGGACTGGGGCTAACAGGCTTTTCCAATGATGAACGGTTCACTGAAGCCCCTATCTGCCTTTTAGAATAACTGCTCATATTAACCTCCTCCTTGGAGCCTAATCTGCTGCAAAATGGGTCAATTAAGCAAAAGGCAGCTGCAAAGGGAGAAGCACTTACTGCTGGATCTCATCAGAGAACATGTGTAAGAGAGTCCTGGTGCGCTAAAAAGGTGGCTGGTAGAAAAGGAGTACAGTTGTATGAACTGCACTAGTCTGACCAAGGAAATATGGGCTCCACCTCTGCTCCATCAAAGCACACTTGCCTGCAAGTTTGAATAGAAAATATTTCTGACCAGCTTTGTGGTAGGCCCATGGGTAGCCCCTTTTCATACTGCTGAAGAAGAAGTCTCAGCAGGATTCAAGGGAGATGGAATTTGACATGATTTCTATCCCCCAAAAAAGTCATATTACACCTGAAAATTTTTTTTTAAAGTCACTTTGCAAAAGTATAGTCAAAAGGAGAGACTTCCTGGATTCAACACTCTACTTTTTCCAAAAGGAGACCTGGGAAAAAAAGACTCCTCTCCAAAAAGACCCACCACAATCCAGCTCTGGCAGGCCAGTGTGGAAGACCATTTCCCTCTGCAGCATACAAGCTCATCAACTCTTTTCCATTTAAAAGGGGAGCATGCTAGGCCTGGTACTTCCTCCAATAACTATTTATGTAGTAATACAAAGATGACAATGACACAAGTTCCCTTTGAGGTTAGTTTGAAGGCACTAAAGCAAGATTAACATCTTGCTCTACCAAAACCAATGCTTAGAGGGGAGCCTGGGCTAGAAATGCAGAAAATATTAAATGCTCAGCTCTCCAGTTTGGTTGCTCTGCCCTAAATACAATGGACAATGAAAAAAGAAATCTTGCTTTGGTTAAGCTGAACAAACTTGTGCTCAGGGCAAAGGAAGAGAGAAAGGGCAATGAAATTGCACCGAACGCCACCTAGGAATGCACAGAGCGTAACTCGATGAGAAAGTACCTCTTGTTCCCGAGAAATTGCTCATCCTATTTTTCTTTAGTAAATACAACATTCATCATCAACAACTGCACAAGCAGGATGCATATACCCTGTGCTATGATTCCTCCTGCCCTAATGTCTACCTGGTTCCTTTCTTCCCCTCTGCATCTTTGTTTCCTCTGTCCCAGAGGGATCCATCAGGGCTGACTGTACCCAGAGAAGATGTTGTGAAAGGGGAATATCTCTAAATGGTGGGATATCTCCCGCACCCAGAATGATTCTGTGTCTGCATTCCCCAGGAGATGCCACCGAAGTAGCTTTGAAGACTTCTCACTCTGAGTCATTTAAAATGGCTGAGTTCTTCCTTTAGCCTTCAGAAAAAGAAAGAACCAAGCTGTCTGGAGCAAGAATGAATGTCTCTTCTTTTGTTAAATCCCATGTACATGCACAGCCTATGGAAATGACCATTATTAATGTGATTTGACTGGTTCCTTTCCTCTTCTCTGCCCACTGAGCCCCTAAAAATAATAAATTCCCCTCTGCTCTGTTGCTCTGCTCCAGCAAAGTGCTGACACCCAATTCATTACCTCCCAGGAGCAGATCCCTCCACTGATCTTCCCCTCCCTCTGGGGTGTAATTGAGACCATTCTCACCTCCCTCCTGCCGTTTCACGCACTTGCAAAATTACAGCGTGACACAATATTACACAAGATGATACACAGCGTAAAATTGCTCTGGGATGAAATGTCACGTAAAATGTTAAAAACCCAAAGGAAAGGGAAGAAAAATCCACTGCCAGATATTTTGCCACGCCAGAGCTAAGATCCACCTCTCTAGCTATGCCGGAGCATACAAAGGCTTCATTAACATTCAAACACCAAAGACTCACAGAGCTGCAATACCTAATAAACCTCCACCTTTTTTTTATGATTAACATGAACCTCGGCAGTCTCTAAGCAATATAAACACTCACAGAGGGGAAATAAAATTTAGTGAGCAGATAAAACCTAGAAGTGCTGCAGGCATGAATCTGCCACGTGTGTCTGCTCGAGTGGTTAAAAGAAGAGGGGGAATTTGCCCACCCCTTCCCCAAAATCTTGTACGGTTCCCAAAGGTTCCCCTAAAGAGGGGAGTGTCTGCTGGAGTGGAGAAGAGAGAACATCGTTACCACACCAAAACCCTCCCTATCTGCCACAAAATATGGCAAGAGGCCCTTAACATCTGAAAGATGATGTCAACCTCCCATCAGCAGCAGTGCACTTGGCTCGGTTCCTTCCCACCTTTCCCATAGATAAAATACATGTTACATTTTCACAACAGCACAGATAAAAAAAGATAGATCCTCATCAAGCAACAGGACATAAGTTGCCACAAGGTTTTTTTTCCAGTGAGATGATATCTAATTGCAATGGTATTCCAGTTAACCTGCCTTTCATGATGTCCGTCGAAGTATCCTTCCTACTCTCTTTGATTTCAACAGCTGCCCATGACTTTTTTTTTCATCAA